GCTTGGACTTGTCTGACAGGCTAGCTTCCTGATTGGTGATTATGGTTAGCATTAAGAAAAAAATTGGAGGTGAAGTTCTGGCCCCAGCCAAATTCTGGTCAGCAGGTCTGGAACTCGGATTTGAAACACGATAATGGGTCATAACCGGATGCTCCCAACGTTAAAAGGCCGCAGCTCCTCCGTGATGGTTTTAAGCTGGAGGCCATTCATCCTCCTGATCGTGTAAGGCGGGGCAACGTGCTGGTGGAGTGTACTTAAGTACAGGTTATGTACATGAAGTGTGGAGGAAGCTCACATGGTCGAGCCGTGGAGCCATAGATCGGTTGTGATGGTTTTTCGGATTGACTGCTTGTGTGTGTCATGGTCACGAGAGAAGTGTGGGTTGGGCAGCTTCTACCGCTTCACCGGTATGCATTCTCCACTCTGACTCTAGTAGTCAAAAACACACCAACTGTACCTTTCTTCCATCCTCTCGAAAGCAGTCACTCTTGACCACTTCCTGCGACGACTAGCACACGAGATGTCGAAGGCTTACCAGGCCATCTTGATCGCCCTTCTGGCGTTCCCCGGAGTATTCGCTTATGATAACGGACTCGCCATCACCCCGCCCATGGGCTGGAGTAAGTCTCCTACCTCATCTTCCTTCCTGCGGTCATGCCTAGAGAACTAACGCGACCCATCTTCTGATATCCCTGGTTAGATACTTGGAACAAGTTTGGCTGTAGTATTAATGAAGACCTCATTCTTTCGTACGTCCACCGTCTGCGATTCACTTGATTTCATTATCCAACTGATCTTTCCGTTTCTTTCCTCTATTCGCATACAAACGACCAGGGCAGCGAAGGCGATCAAATCTGAAGGACTCGATAAACTGGGCTATACATGTGAGATCCCTGGCTTATTTTTTGATCATAAGCCTCAACTACATGAGCGGAACTAGAATCCTGGCCTTGCGCCCTAGGAATCTGACGTGATGTTGTCTTTCTGTATGCTTCACATGATGGAATCGCAATCGTTTCATAAAGACGTTAATGTCAGTCCCACCTCAAGAGCTAAGCACTTCCAATCCATCCGCTGACCAGCACTCATCCGAAAAAAAAAAAAAAAACTCGTGTAGATCGATGATTGCTGGCAAGCGCCCAATCGTGGGCCTAACGGCGAGCCTTTGGCACATCCCGAAAAGTGAGTGACCGCGAATCTGATAGTTAGGCTCTCCCAGAGAGAGACTCACCGTATGGTACTATTTCAACAACAACTATTCCTTCGACAGGTTTCCCAGCGGAATTAAACGTCTCAGCGACCAGATCCATGACCTGGGATTGAAACTTGGGTTCGTTGGCTGAACACCGTCTAGAAAATTCATGCGCTCATCTGTTTATCCATTCTTTTTCCATCTACGCTTGTGTGCATCGCAGGTTATACTCGGATGCTGGAACGTAAGTATTCTACGCCTCATCTCACGCTGTTTTCACCCGGTGATCAATGTATGTTGATCTTTCTTTTAGATATACTTGTGGTAAACAGTTCGGATCGCTTGGTTTTGAAACCCAGGACGCCCAAGCTTATGTAAGGGGTTTTTTGTTCAAAAAAGAAAGACTAAAAAGGTCCCCTAACGTTACCTGCTGTCTTACTCATCTTCGATTGAAACTGATCCACTAGGCTGAATGGGGCGTAGAGTAAGTCGTAGGATCACACACAGCATGGACGAGTCTTGTATATTTGCTGAATATTTCTCAAACGTTTTAGCTATTTGAAGTATGATAACTGCTACAATGAAGGGCTTTCTGGTACCCCCAATTTATCCGCAACTCGATACAGGAAGATGAGGAATGCACTCAACGCCACTGGTCAGCCTATTGTCTATTCACTCTGCCAGTGGGGTGAAGATCAAGTATGGAATTGGGGGTCTACCATTGCGTATGTCACTTCATCCATCGTCCTGCTTTGATGACCGTTAGGATCTGAATCCTGTCCAAAACTAAATCCTGCTGCTTTCTTAGGAATTCTTGGAGAATGTCGGGTGACATCACTGACAGTTTCGACCGGCCAGACGACCGATGTCCTTGTCCAGATTCATCTGCCCCCTGCCCCTTACCTGGTTTCCACTGCTCGGGTATGTCTACAATCACCTTCTTAAACACAGCATCCTGACTGAGAGCATCTGTAAATTTGAAAACTGTGCAGCCATGAATATCTTAGAGAAGGCCGCCGGTCTTGGTCAAAAGGCAGGTCCAGGTGGATGGAATGATTTGGTTGGTCATCCTGCACTTTGACTCACTCCATATGGCCACAAGCTGTGGTATCCTCCATGATCTGACGCCCATCGTATTGTATGCAGGATATGCTTGAAGTTGGAAACGGTGGAATGTCATACGACGAATGTAGGTCAATGTTTCTGGCTTCCCATTGGTGCACATGCTTCATCTGACTTGTATTTATCGCTTTAGACGTCACCCATTTCTCGATGTGGGCTCTATCTAAATCTCCCTTGATCTTGGGGAACGATGTTACGAAAATGTTCGTCCATGAAGACCGTGCAAGAATCGCGCCTTTTTGATTGGCTCACGCGTTCTTTTTCAATTAATCAGGTCTGCCGAAACCAAGTCGATCATCAGTAATAAAGAAGTCATCGTGCGTTTTGACTTTGACCTATCCGCCTCATTTTATTCTGTATGGCCGTTCACCTATTGTTCTTCCAGGCCATCAACCAAGACGCGGCGCACAGCGCTGGTTATCGAGTATGGAAAAGGCCCAGTCCCAATGGGCGCGAAGGAAACCTTCAACTATGGAAATCTTACCTCGCTGATGGGTCAGTTTCTGTGACTTAATTGTACCTTAGTTAATTCGTTAATTCTTCCTCGTAGACTCTAACTCCTGCTGACTTGCATCTTGCTTTCATGCCTCAGAGCGTTCGCCCTGGCCTTCATAAATGTTTCCCCCTTTCACATTAGCACACATGCCCTGTCACTGTCCGAGTTCTTCTTTGACGATGTCAGTATGATGATTGTTTCTTATTAGAGGGATACTGCTCTGATTTGAGTATGTCTTTCTGTCTTTCTTTTTTGTTTTTTGGGGGGGGGGGGGGATTT